TGGCTCATGATGAAAAGCCAAAGGAATTTGCATAACTTGGTTTAGAAAAGAGACAATAGAGGGGGTGGCCCATCAATGAACTTTAAATATTTTTAAAATAGACATAAAGCGAAAGGGACTGAATCTTTTTTGTGCCCATTATGGGTGGAAAATAAGTGAAATTACAGGAAGGGAGATCCAGATGAAACATCTGTAAATTTTCCTTGTATAGTCAATTGATGAAACTGGTATGTTTGGAGGAAGTGGCATCTCCATGAGTGGAGACAGGCCTGGGTGTAGCTAATTCTGACTTCAGGAACAGGAGAGGACTGGATGGATTCTCCTCTCCAGCCTACTTTTCTATTCTTTTGTGAATGTTATCCATCCAGGCTGACAAGGACTTAATCCTCAATGATTCCCAAATGGTGCTGCTGATAGCAGGATCACTCCCACTGCGAGTAGAAGCTACCAGGACTTCTTCCTGATAAAATGGAAGGGGATCATCAAAAGCAGAGAACTCTTTGACTCAGATAGGGGCAGGTCCCAGGCACCTCTTTTTTCTATTTTTAGTGTCCTCTGTGAATTTGAGAGAGCTACTGCTTTCACTGCTAGCACCGTGGTACTTCAAAAGCAGGTCAGGGAAGGAAGGCCACAGCTACAGAAGCTTAGCTGGCCCAGCAGGCCAGGTAAGGCTATGGACAAAATAATCCACAGATAAACCTACATGAGGGTATATCATGATTAATGTCATATCCAGCTGCCTCTGGCTCCCTGGCATGAAGAGGGACAGCTGTCCATGGAAATCAAGGGGAAAACCCCAAGCTGAGTCTTGTCTGAGCTCCTCTGCTGCTCCACCCTGTGTGAGCTCAGTGTCTTTGGAGACAGCCTTGGCAGCAGCTGGTGAGATCCAAAGGGTGTTCTGGGAAACAGCTTCTGTAGACCTTCCTCCCCAACTCTGTTCTTGCTCACCTCACACTTTACCCCAATTTTTCATGAATGCTATAAGTTGCACTCATTTGTGGAGTTCTTTGCCTGACAGTAGTCTTAGATATGTACCTGACGGGTGCTATGTGTTTTCATACTGAAAAAATACAGTAACTGACCTCCCTCCTCCAGGAATTCCCTGCAATAGTTCAATGACTCTGCATCTGCTCTCTGAAATCCATTTTTAAAATGTTTTTTTACAGTCTGCTCAGCCTGTGACTCTGCTTGCACACACCCTCTCTGCTACCTGCAGGTCATCCCTCCTCACATGACCCAACCGTGTCTCCTACATCAAACACTGATGTGGTCTTTCCTCCCAGCCTGTTGGACTTATCCAAGAATTGCTGGTGTCAGAGTTTACAGCTACAGGTCTTTTATGGAGAGAGGTAACCAGGGGAAAAGACTGCATTATCTCTGGAATGCTGCAAAGCACTCCGGATCTTCCTCATCTGAAGAAATACAGTGGAAAAGACTTCCACAGGAGGACACAGAAACAGATTCCTGAATTCTTCTGGGTTTTTTGGGGGGGAGGGAAAGGGGGAATAAAAAAAGAAATTGTGAGGATGAGATGAAAGAAAAGATACCACAAAAAATTCAGATGAATGCTGTGCATAAATCAAGTTCTCTTCTGTTTTTTGGAGGCAGAAGTTTTTGCAGAAAGAACAGCCAAATGCCTGGTAGTCTCCTAGAACACCAGAAAAGTGTGTCACAGGCTGTCCCCTTCTGCCTCTTTCCCAAATTCGTTGTCTTCTCTTGATCCTTCTATCCCCCTGAAACCCTGCCATCCCAGGATATCCCTGCCTGTTTTGCTCCCTCCTGCTCTGTCTCTGGCCTTGTTGCCTCTGCATATCCCTCCCTGCCTGCCCCTGGATGCTGTCCTGTAGGTCTTATTTTGAGCCATTATTTTTCTCCTCCTCCCCTTCAGTGCTGTTTAAGGCTGCATCCAGCTCTGGGTGGCACAGGGTGAGGGAGAGAGGGGCACAGCTCTCTGCCCTCTGCTCGTATTTGGGGCTGAGCTCCTATGGCACAAGCCTGCTCTGCACAAGGCAAGCCTTCAGCAAAGACAACATCTGGATTTCAGACAAGCTCTGCAGGCCATGTGCAAGTGGAAAGCAGTGATTTACAACTAGGTCAGATCTGACAGGATTTTCATATGGACACCAAGTACAGGCTGATGTCTCCAGGGATCAACCCCCACTAATTTCAAGCCCCTGCATGAAGCACTGAATGGCAGTGAAACCACTGTAAGATATTTCCAGCATGGGCCAACCATATTTTTCACTAACCTCATTCTTGGAAGTTGCTGACCAACTTTCAGTGAAATGTTCCCAAAATAAAAATCAGCCCAACACAGAGAACAGGGATGGAAAATGTCAGCCTAGAATGACTAAAATATGAAAAAAATTAAAAGCAAGAGAAAAACATATCTTACAATCAAAACTGTTAGGCCAATGTTAAATATAAGATTTGTTGCCCTCTTCACCTGTAACAGAGGGATGGCTATTTAAGTATTCAATTTGGGGAAAACTTTCTTACATGACTGACATGCAAGGAGAAAGCATTTTCCTTCTGAACACTCTGAATATGAGGCATATGCCCATCTGATAAGGAGAAACAGTGGTGACTGTATGCAAACTGTTATGTGATCTGAATTATTTACATTGCTTGGAGTTCACCAGATTCTTCACCAAAGTGTTTTCAGTCCCACACTGAACTGAGCACTAGTGGATGCATCAGGGAGAGAGATGTCAGCTTGACCCATCGTGATTTGCCATCTGTGAAAAGCAAACAAATACAAGCAACTGGAGGAAGGAGCATTGTGACTGTAATAGGAACTGGAGCACAGATTTACAGAGGATCTTTGTGTTTGGACTCACGAGCCTTTAACTGTGTTAGCATTGAAAAGTAAGCAGCTGCAAAAGTCCAGCTACACAGATCTGTGCAAAAATCAAGATTTGCCTGTTGACTGCTTGACATTCTACCTGCAAGGGTGGATCAGATGTGTGTAATTATTTCCTATACTGTTTTCTTTAGATTTTAAGAGAAGACAGCTTTCCAGCAAAGTTTTTAGGGAGTCTTTTTAAAGTTTTTACTACACTCCAATGAAAAGGCTCCAGGATTTTAAAACTTGTCCACTTTTTTCAAGTATATACAGGGGTTATAATCAAAGATATTATGTCAGTGGCAAATTCTGATTTCCTCAGATTACAGTTTCACAGCTAAATCAGGAGTATTACTCCTGATTACTGCTATCAGAGAAACTACCACTCTTGGAACAAGAAGTCACTGCTACTTTGAATTGAGTCCATTGCTGAAAGTAGAAAATATATCTAGATGCAAAGTACAGCCTCTTAAAAACCACAGCATAAACACAGAGATTTTTCCCCTTTTCTGATCCAAATACAGTAGTCACAGACTATTTTTAATTCATGTAAAATTATGATAATCATGAAAGCATAAACTCTATGGTTTGCTGAATTGGCTGCAATGAGCATCCCTAAAGTAGGGAAGTACTGAGATCAGCATAATGAGAAATATGACAGGGGACTCTGCAGATGACTTGTAGGCTGAACCAAAGATCATGCCAGACCAGATGTAGCTACATTTATTGCTGTGCTGTGCACCAGAAAATGTTAAAAATAAGGCACAGGGAGTGCAGATTTCCAAACATATTAGCAGTCTCCAGTGATGTGATCGTAGCAGTTTTAAGGCCATACTGCCTTGAAGACCAGAAAGTATTGGGTTCTTTTTATTGCTTTTACCAACCTAGATTGACATATATGACCCAAACCTGACATCTAGTGGAGGAAGAACGAGGGCAGGATTTTCCTTGCCTTCCCGGGGATGCACTGGGCTGTGGGCACACACTTTGCTCTTCTCTTCAGAAGTGACCTGAAGGCCGTCTGCCCCACGGCTCGTCCTGGGCAGGGAAGCAAACCAAGGAGCTTGTGGGCATTTCAGCTAATTGTACACACCTTGTCTAGTTCATGACACCTGTGTCCACAGCTTTGTCCATGCCTAAAGCCAGTTCCACAGTGCTCTTAGCAGATAATGAGCTCTGAAGGCTGAATTTAAAGAAGTTCCAAAAGACAGTAGTAGAGACAACCACGTCTGGTTGAATTTGAGCAGAGTCTTGTGAATGCATCTACCAGAAAGAAGAGGTGTTCACTACAGCTGCACAGATGGTTTCAGTGACCTACAATTTCTCTGTCAAAATGTCAGGTCTCTTGGACCAGACCAGCCAGTTCAATGCCAGCTCATGAGGCTGCAGCTCTGTTAACTTACAGCTTTTTCCCATCACAGTAGTGCATTCACTGCCCCATCTGGGCTGCTTGAGCTGGGAGGCCAACAATACTTTGGGAAAGTTTTAACAAGTTTCTGCATTGTCCTCTGCACCTGCCACTGTAATATATCATTTCTCAGTTAGCAAAAATCAAAACTTCAGGCTCTCATACTTGCATGGAAATGTTGAAGATATGAACCCTAAAGGCTAAAAGAAACTAAAAGCCAAATAAATCTCTCCAGTGTTTCTTTTTCATATCTTAGAAATTTAAATAAATATCATAAATTTGTTGGTACCTCTGTCCTGATGAGAGCACTTACAGGCCATTAATAATGTCAGAAGAGAAAGGGTATTTTAGTTGTTTATATACTGCAGGAAGCAAAAAAACATCTCCCATGTGTTAGTGAAGGGTCCAGGCTTTGTAGCTGGGAGTTGTAACTACACACACTGTCTATGAATCATTATTTTGGGAGGATGAAGCAGCAAGTTACCAACAGTTTAGAGAATCATTGAACCCCCTGAAATACTGTTGCTTGCCTAAGTGAATGCACAGTCATCAGTCACTGCCAAAGAGCTCAGCTACAGGGCTCTGTCCCAAGCAATCACAATGCTGATGAGGTGATGCATTTTTTTAGGAGGGATTTTTAATCTCCTGATAGCAAAACAAAGTTAGTGTTATACAAACAGTACAAAGTTTACCACAGGATTGAGCTTTAATCTCTGGTGGTTGCTTATTGACTGCAGAAGAAACAGAAGCTACTCAGTGAAAAGACCTCAAAATCCTGTTTGCAGGCAAACTTGAAGGAGAGGCTCTCACCCCCTGCAGCTTTCCCTGAAACCCAAAGTAAGTCTGAACCGAGGTCTGAATTGGAAGATGGGACTGGGCCTGGGTTATTTAAAATTCCTGTTTATTCTGCCATGAGAGGACTTGGTTTATCTTATTGTGCTTGATGATGTTGACCTTTCTAAAAGTTAGAAAAGCAGAAGTTGTGATAGATGGTTTAAAGAACGTCACAGTGTATTTATGAAGACTTGTGCTATCAGCACAGTTCTCAAAGTCAAAGAAAGCAGGCTTGTGATACTTGCACCCCCTGCTACCTGCTGCCTGTCAGAGCAGACAGAACAATACTGAAGAAATCAGTTGCATTTTTTCTTCCTCTTCCAATAGTTCCTGATCTTGGGCTCTTCACCAGCAGAGAATTGTGTGTCCCAATTTTCAAATGTAGACAGGGGTACTTCAGTCAGTGAGCAGCAGGGTGCCTTGACAGGCTGTGTCTGTGTACATAACCTGTGTGTTTACATGTGCCAAAAGTGACCAACATGGGACACATGGGGCTGATTTTGGTGAAGCTTGCAACCCTTGCTAATCTGGGGTGGGAGGTTAATCCTGAAAATTAGGATATTTACTTCTTCCTGTACATTTTTTAGAGAAGTCTGACTGAACCACAGCTGTTTTAAAATTTCATGTTTCCACATATCTTGCTAAATACTTATTTTAATCAGGACTGCAGAAGTAATTGCAACAAACAATTTAGAAAATTGACTTTGTCTGTGTTTTGTACATGTTTCTGCACACATGGGCATGGTTTGCTAAAACATTAATTTGCATAGCTTTCAGTTCTTGCTTCTTCAAAAGTATGTAAGTGCAGGCATTTTCTGGGCAGCATTTATGTTGGTTTGATTAGACATCTGGGTCACACAACTTCACTTCCATTCCCTGAAAGGCTGAGGTTAGTTCTCAGAAACATGTTTCATATTGTGGAATTTGTTTTTTGCCAGTGTTTTCTCATGGTTTGTTCAATTTCTGTATGTTCCTTTTATAGTATATATCAGTGCTCCAGCATGTAATGCAAACACCCAGAAGGCATTTGTTACAGAAGAGAAAGGAAGATCTGTAGAAAATGCTTTGTTTTTTCCACAGCACTGGCCTTGACAGTGACTTGTTCTCAGGGTCTGGACATAGTTTTACAGTGTGTTCATCCTGGAGCAGGTTACATGTGGACTCTGTATTTACTTGTTTCCAGATTTCATGATGTTGAATTCCATCCCTGTGCTCCATAACTAATTGTTCAGTCACGGTGCCGTCCTTAGGGGTAATCTAACAAATGATGTTCTGGGACAACCTTTGAGCAGAATTAGTGGAACAAATAATGCAGCTTGTTTTTAAGATGGAACTTATGGCAGAATTACACAATTGAAATAGCAGAGGACCTAAAATGTCCTCTTCAGGATGCTGTTTAAAACAGAAGGAAGAGAGGCACAGACATGCATCTCATGGCTGCATCTGCAAGTTTTCCTCCTACTGGGGTAGAGGATTTGTAGACCAAAGTGCAAGATAGACTGAGACAGTTCTCAGCAGCTCTTCTATAAAACAGATGGCTCCAAGTTTTGCATTCAGTGACATTAGAGCCCCTGGAAGAGAGAATGACAGTTCAGGGATCTAATTTCTGCTCCATGTCATTCTTTTCTTCAAGGTTCCCTACACCTCTTTCAGCAATGGCTATGGTGTGTCTTTCTGACTTTGAAGCTTATGCTAAGAAGTATTTACCCAAGATTGCTTGGGATTATTTTGCAGCTGGAGCAGATGATTGTACCACACGAGATGAAAACATCCTGGCATATAAAAGGTAATGTGAGAAGGAAATGAAGGGGGTCATACTGGGACTGTTTAAACTGGTTTTGTGCAAATATTTGGACTTGACAAGCAAAGGCACCCAAAACCTCGTCCTTTCCAGGGAGTCCCCAAGCTAAATGCAAAACCTGAGTGACACACACTGTGTGCTGTGATGCCAGACTGAATATGACATGGGTTGTATGAGGCTTTAGGGATGCTGAGGGTATGGGCAGGTGCTAGGGTAGGATAGGGCAGGGTATAGTGTGCTGTGGAGTGTGTGGCATTACAGGAAAGAGCATGAGCAGCTCCAATAGAATGAATTGCAACAAGGAACTCTTGGTGAGCAGCAGAAAGCCTATGTGCACATAGGGTGGGATTTGGGGAACATGCTGCAGAGCCTGAGGGCAGGCACACTGTACAGTGAGGACAGACACATGGATGGTGAAGTGGAAGGACCCAGCCTGGCTGCAAGTAAAAGGAACCTGGGGGAGGACAGTGGGAGAACAAGACATGGTGAGCTGAGGCAGGAGATCGAGAAATCATGTACTGTGGCCAGTAAAACAGGACTAATGCAAAGTGACTGAACTGCTGGCTGAATTGACTCTAAAAGCAAACAGAAAGGACAAAGAGCCTTTGCTATATTTTCTTTTATTATAATTTTATTATTTGTTGTTTTCTTCATTGGCTCAGATTCCTGCTTTGCCATTGGTGAATGAAGACCTGGTTTCCATGAAATTTCAGAAAACTCACTGAACATCTACTGTCCTGAAGGGGTTTTTTTGCCTTACAGAATTAATTTCCGGCCACGTATGCTGCGGGACGTATCCGTGATGGACATCAGGACTAAAATCCTGGGTTCTGAAATCAGCTTTCCTGTAGGAATCGCTCCTACAGGCTTCCACCAGCTAGCATGGCCTGATGGAGAGAAAAGCACAGCCAGAGGTATTCTTCTGCTCTGGTGCCATGTAGCACCAGAAGGGGGGTTGTAGGAAAGCCTCAAGAAGCTGTTAGGATGACTTGAAGTGCGACTGAGAAAAATTTTAAGGCTTGAGGGGAAAACTCCATTCCCACTTTCTGATACCCTGCATAGACGGTGCTCTTCTTCTCCAGCTACCAACATAAAAAATTAGCCCTATGGAGTCTGCTGCAAACTGAAGACAAGGGCAGTGGACACATTTCTGACTCATACCAAAAACCACAAAAGGTTTTCAGTCCTGGGGGCTCTAGATGGGTTGTAAAACTGGTGGAGGGGACTCAGACTGTGAATTGCTTGTTACTGGTTAAGAAATGTCTCCCTTGGACAAAAAGATCTCCCATTTTCACAAATCCCATGGAGAGTTTGGAGACCTGACCCCTAGAAATGTTTCGTCTTCTGTGCACACTGAGTAGATTTAACAGTACATCCCTGAGAGGACTTAGTCATAAAGATAAAATTCATGCTTTTTCTAAAAACGTAGCTGCAAAATGAAAGCACAGTTTGGTTAATTACCTCTCCCTTTTCTGCTTTCTTAACCAAGGACTAACAAGAGTGCATGGCAAATGTCATTGTTAATCCTGGGACATAGCTGCCCTGTGCTTTGTAGGATGCACAAGAAATCAGGACTTGGGGTGGTCTCTGCAAACAGTGCATGGTTTTGTATCTGATGTCTGACAAGACCCTTCAGATGCCTTTGTTTCTGACTCCTTCCCAATGCCTCCCAAGCGGCCAGAGCAATGGACACCTGCTACATTGCCAGCACCTACTCCACCTGCACGCTGGAGGAGATCTCCGCGGCTGCGCCCGGCGGCCTCCGCTGGTTCCAGCTCTACATCCACCGCAACAGGGCAGCTTCCCAGCAGCTGGTGCAGCGGGCGGAGGCCTTGGGCTTCCAGGGCCTCGTCCTCACCGCCGATCTGCCCTACACAGGCAAGAGACGCGACGATGTCCGCAATGGTTTCCGCCTTCCTCCCCACATGAAAGTGAAGAACTTGGAAGGAGCCTTTGAGGTTTGTAAAATGAGCCCGTCCTTTCATTCACTGCGCTGGCATGTACCACATGAGAGAAAAACCACTGGGTAACTGCTGCCCTGGCATTTGCTGTACTGGGGTGTATCTTCTCCCTTGCTGGTTCTGCAGCATCCTGGCTTGACCTCCTGCCAGACTGGGTTCTGTCTTCAAAATTCCCACCCAGCTGCCTTAGAGACACTGATTTCCACCCCCATTGTAATTATTCTCCTCCAGAGACATGTGACATTTCCGGAGCTGATGAACATGTCTATTGGCAAGTTTGACTAATCTGTTCTAAGGCAAGGAAAGACACCAAGGGACCTGTGTATTGTTGCAGCCTGATGAGATTTCCTTTTGCTATTTCATTTTGGCTGTAGGGAGATGACTGGTCTGAGTACGGACTGCCACCCAACAGCTTGGATCCTTCGGTGACCTGGAATGACATCTACTGGCTGCGGAGCCTGACACACCTGCCCATCATCATCAAAGGCATCTTGACAAGAGAAGATGCAGAGCTGGCAGTGAAACATGGAGTTCAGGGAATTATTGTGTCCAATCATGGTGGAAGGCAACTGGATGAAGGACCTGCCACTGTAAGTGAGAATGGATGAAAATGGATGTCCCACATTTTCCCCCTTTACGGTCTGCACGTTTGCAGTAACCTGGGTGTCTCTATGCCCAGGTTTGGGCGTACACTTCTGGTGGACTTGAGTTTGTCCAGTGGCTGTGGATGTGTGCAGATATACTTTAGCTTTAAACTGGTGAGACCCATGCCTTGGCATAGGGGCTACCCACTGAAGTCTTTCCTCAGCTTCTTGGGAAGGTTCTGTAAGTACCACAGAACCCAGTTAAGTGCAGATAAACTACTGCCCTAAGTCAGGGAGAGTTCCTCCTGTGCCTCCATTAGCTGGTGCAGCGCACTCAAACTCTGCGCACTGCAGCAAAAAGAAAACAAAGCTCTGGAACCAAAATTGTACAAATGAGAGCATAATGTATTCTCATTGTTCACATCTGTCAAAACATGCAAAACAATGCAGCTAGATTTAGTGAGAGGTCTGCTTGCGTATTTACAGGCTCAAGTCTAAATGGGAATTTATTGACTTACATGAGCCAGAAAAAGGATAACTTATCTGGGGAAAAATTCCCCTGCTTTTAAATTTGTACGAAGAAATCATGCATTGTTTGGACATGTGTGTATTTCACTGGCTTAATTTGGCTTCTGTCAGTTTTTCCAATTGGTCTTATTTTACAGTTCTGCATTGCGCAGTATCTTACGAACTTTCTTTTCTCAATTTTCTTTTGTTAAATAAAAATAGGTACCAGGGAATTCTCTTCTATTCTGCGTCAAGGCTGACAATAATGAATAAAAAGAAAAAAAAACAAACCTCAATGCTAAAGGCATAATAACAGAAATGGCATCCACATTAAACTGTTATTCTACCTTAAAAGTTGTTTTACATACACAGACAAGGCAGTAGATACCTACCTGGGCTCTGCGATTTTTCTGGTGCCAAGCCTGGCTCTTGCTAAGTTAGTCCTAGAAAATTTCAGCCAGAATGTTTTTAGTTTGAAATTCAGGGGGAAAAAAAATTAAAATAAGGCAAAAGGGTATAAGACACTGCAGAAAAGAGCCTTTTGGGTTTGCTCTGAAGGAGAGTTAATTATGTCCAGTGCATTGTCCTGCCTCTGGTTGTACTGCCTTTGGGGCCAGAGCCAGCATCTCTGCGTGGTGCTGCCCTGCAATAACATCCAAGGCTTACTCCATGCTGAGCTCTACAGAAAATACCTTAGAGAATCAGGAGACTTAACCTGGAGAAAGTGACTGACTGTACTACATAGCAAATTAAACCCTTCATAGATACTTTAGAGGGAGGCACTCAACAAGTGGTCACCAGGTTTAAGTTGAAATGTAAGCTTAGGTAGTTTGAGCAGTAGAAGTCTGACATCAGCCTTTTATGCAAACAGCTGTATTATTCATCATTGTCTCAAATAAAAGTAAAATATTGATGACAGTTATTTCCACTGAAAATTATATTTAAAATCTTTCATAAATCTGTTGAAAATGTTACTTTTTCACTAATCAAAAGTGATAGCAAGGAATATCAGTACAAGTAAAGCACTGGAAAATGGTATTAAGTATCTGGAAAGCAGAGCAGGGAGCTGCATGTCATTCTGCAGCTCCTGGTGCTGAGCTATTTGTGATGCACTGTCACCTTTCATTTCGAGAAGGTATCCTACTAAAGCACCGCATCCCTGCCTGTCTCTTTGGAATATATCCTCTTTCTTTTGGAATCAAAAGCTGCCCTCAAGGTGAGACTGGCTTCTTCTTTGCAGATTGATGCTCTGGTTGAGGTTGTGGAGGCAGTAGGAGGCAGAGTCGAAGTTTATGTAGATGGAGGAATACGAAAAGGAAGCGACGTGTTGAAAGCACTGGCTCTGGGAGCAAAATGCGTCTTCATTGGAAGACCAGCGTTATGGGGCCTGGCTTACAAGGTGAGTAAGGAGCTCTGAGGCCATATGCCTGCTTCTCACACTCTCCAGCAGTCCTGCAGCTGAAGTCACAGAGTTGTCACTGGTGGAGAATATATTTTTTCATTTTATTTTGCTGAATTTGAAGTGGAATCACCCCAAATCCACAGAATAAAACCCTGGCATTTCCTCTGATTTAAAAATACCACTGAATTTGACAATTTCCTGGGATTTTGAATAATGGGATTTTGAAGGTGATAGCATTGTTTTGTGGGACCTGATTTCTTGTTGTTGCAGTTTGGTGCTAAAACACTTTAGGACTCAGGACCATCAGTGCTTTTGATAACTGAAGCTGGGCTTATTTGCCAGAAAGTTTAGTCTGGCAATTTTATTTGCTTTCAGCAAATATTTGGGAACAATACATGGTTTTGGTAGAACAGTTTCACAGCAGTGCTATGAATTCTTCAGAAATACATATAGAACTTCATCCCACGAATGGCTGAAACATTTTGTACCAGGCTGAGCAAAACTGTGTCCTGGAGGTGCCTGGGCTTTCCACTGCTATTTCAGTTCCAGTTTTGCTGCTTCTCAACTCCAGGCATATTTCTATGATCCAGAGTCATGAATTAGGCCACTGATGCAGGAGGTAAACATAATATAATTAAAATTAAAATAGTATTATTATACCACTTGGGTTTTTTTGTTAATTTTTTGCTTTTTACACTCTGGATGGAGTCTTCCAAAACTTTTCTCTAGAAGAAAAGATACTTTTTTTTTGTATGGTCTAGACACATTTCCTGTCTCTTAAATGGCACTCTTGTCTGGTGGTGTGATTGCTGTAGATTCCAGTAGCAAGGCTTTGATCAAGAAATCACCTGAATCTCCTGAAAAAACCTGTAAGAGTTGGCAGTACTGTTTCTTTTGCCAGTAAATATCAACAAAGGGCCTAAGATGAAAGAGCTGCTCCTGTGAGTTGACTGCACTTTTTCCACAAGGGAGACAGAAAGGAGATGGGATTTTGGTGGGTTCAATTGTGCTTTGGTGTTATATTCCAAGAGTATTCCTAAAGATGTATCTCAGTGGCATTACCAAAGCATGCAATAGAGGAAGGGAATAAACAAGTGCTAACATTGTCTGCACCCAAAACATTCATTATTGCAAGACATTGAAAGAAAATGTAAGGGAAAAAAATTAATTTCTCCAGTATTTCATAGGAAGATCAAAATCTTCTGTACATTTCATTGGCTTTTGAGCTTCTTGGTGTCACTTACACAGAGAAAAACACATAGTCTATTATTTTTAAAGATTCAGTCTAATATTTGAGTAAACTACAGTTTCTGGAGTGGTAACATATATGAAACTCTCATTACTTTGTTAAAACCTGCCAGCTTTGTAAGGCTTGACATTTTAAATAGCAAGCCCATTGGTGGGGGGAAACTGAAAGCTAAAAAAAAGAACCAGCTACAAAATGTCAGAAGTGAAAAACAGCTTTGTTTTCTTTCCCTCTTCAGATGTATCCCAAAGGGAAAAGCATCTAAATTAATCTGTGATGAACTGAGCACATCCATCATATAATTTTAATCATCCATCTCCATGAGAGACTGGAATTGGCACAGACTTAAGGGACTATCCCAGCTCTCAGGGTGCAGGCATCCTGCAGCACTGCTCTGTGCCAGTGCTCCTTTTACCCTGACTGCTTTCTCTCTTGGTGCAGGGTGAAGAAGGTCTTCAGGATGTCTTGAGAATCCTTCAGGATGAATTTCGTTTGTCTATGGCCTTAGCTGGTAAGTATTTTGTTTGTAATGGGTGTCACAGATGTTCCTGCATGCAAGCCCTATGAAATCAGGAGTGTGATGGGTGACAAAAAGGGAATCCACAGGAGCTGTGATTGTTCTAGTTGCTATACTTGAGATTCTCTGCTTCCTGTGAAACCAGTTGGCATTCCAGGTGTCACAGCAATGAAGTTTGCATGGAGTGAGTAGGTTAGAGCAGCTTTGTGACCCAAGTAAAGAGATGCAAAACTGCTAAGCACAGACAGCACAAGTTTTTCAGTATTTAGTGTTTATCAAGGTTAAATGCAACTGATCTTTTTTTCTGCATGAAGAGCTCATTAAAAATGGATGCAGAATTTTTCTCTGTGTGCTAGAGAATACAGTCTGTAGGTGATTACACATGTTTAAAAAGCCTTCGTGTCTCCTCCCAACTTTTACTCTCACTGTGTTTCTCACTCGTGCACTCAGCTGTAGCTGCCCTCTTTGGCCCTCTCACCAAACAGCAAATTTGCAGAGCCTGGTGCAAGCTCCAGTTTTATTCTTTAACAAGAGGGTTTTGGCACTGGAGCAGGGTCCCCAAAGCACCAAGCCTGACGGAGTTCAAGAAGCATTTGGACAGTGCTCTCAGGCACATGGTGTGATTCTTGGGTGTCCTTTGCAGGGCCAGGAGCTGGACTGGATGATCCTTGTGGGTTCCTTCCAATGCAGGATATTCTATATATTATGACATGTAGAACTCAAGTGGATAGCAACACTGACTGGGAGACTGGAGCTGAAATCTCTCTGGCTATAGTGTGGTTTAATGGGTTACTTTTTCAACCAGTAAAGCTTCCTGGGGTTTTTTCCCCAGCAGACTTTCACAATTCTTTTCATGCAAAAGGGCACAGAATTCAGCAAGAGTAGCAGGTCAGGATCTTTTTGCTGAGGCTGTGAAATTCATTGAATGATACAATCTTTTAGGTTGGAAAATATATTTAAGACCATCAAGTCCAACAGTTAACATTGCCAATTCCACCATGAAACCATGTCCCTTAGTGCCATATCTACATGTCTTTTAAACACATTCAGAACTGGTGGCTCAACCACTTCCTTTGCAGCCTATTCCAGTGCTTGGTAACAATTTCTGTGAAGAATTTCTTCCTAATATCCAATCTAAACCTCACCTGAGCAGAGGATTCCAGGTGCAGCCTCACCAGTGCCCAGTCCAGGGGACAATCACTGGCCTGGTCCTGCTGCCCACACCATTGTTGACACAGGCCAGGGTGCCTGTACCACACCTGGGTATACACAGCTGGCTCATGTTCAGCCAGCTGTCAACCAGCACCCTTATTCCACCCATTTAATCTATCCAAATTAAATGGCAGTGCAAGTCTTCACCTCTGGCCATTTGGCACACAGCAACCCCTGTCTTTTCTCTGTGTTTTTCTGCTGACTTTACTGGATCAGATTGCACCCTGCTCAGCTTGTTATAAAAATAATTCTTTTCATGTTTCTAACTCTTCTTGTGGGGGGATTCGGGTGCTGAACCTCGAGGCTGATGATGCCACTGAGGAGTGGAGATATTGAAGTACCAACCTATTCTAACCTGGCTTGTGCAAGACTGGGATTTAGAGCAGGGGGGCTTCCAAGCTTCATCCACAGACCTTTGTCTCTCACCGTGTTTCATTTCTTGCAGGCTGTGCCAGCGTCTCAGAGATTGGCCAGCACCTGGTTCAGTTCTCCAGGCTGTGATCAGCCTCCTGCCATGCCCACCAAACAGAGGCAGGTGAAGCAGAGGTCCTAGCCAGACTGAAGATGAAAAAGGAGGTGCAATAAAGATCTGATAAGGCCTTCTGGAAACTTCTGAAGAGATTAGGAAAGGCTCTGTGTTAGCAAAGGCTGCTCTCTGCTTTTATTGAGACCAATGAATTCCATAACAGTTTGGGTAATTGTTACTTGTCTAAATGCATTTTCTTTAACTGGCTGTTCGACAGCATTACCTATGTTGGGTCTTCCTCCAAAGTTGCTTTACCCTGGACATCCAGACATGGAAAACCCTGTGTCTTGCTTTTTCCACTTGTCATGCCAAGTCTCACTGCAACCCAATCCACACACCTCTCCTGCTCTGGGACAGTAAGTGTTGTGGCTGCTATGTTCCACAGACTTGGCTTTTCCTGGATGTATTCATGAAAGATATAGAAGTAAGATGAATCAGCTACCAGGTGTCCCAGCTGCCCTTTGAAAGTGGGGGCAGTTCTTGCCCACTGCTTCTAAATGCAAAGCAGGAAAGGGGTGGAGCAGAGTGCCACTTGTGGGGAAAGAGCCAGCTCTTTTTTCCAGGGGTGCAACCCCCTGCCTCCTCCTGCTTTGGAGCCACAGATACCCTGATACCCATTTCCCTGGCATGTGCAAGGGGGAGCCGTGCTACCAAAAGGTGACCTTTTGCATAAAGCCTACTTGAAATCAGCCCAAAGGAGGCAGAAGAAAGGAGCTAACCCTGTTGGCTCGCTCTGTTTAGACTTTAGTTTCTCTCAGAGATAACAGTGTCTGCAGTGATCTTCCAGAGGCCTTCACATGGAGGCCTCCCTCTCTGTTCCAGTAACAATAAACCTTGTCAGCAGACTGACAGCCTGGCAGATAAGACTTGGGAATTACAGCACATCACACACGTTGATGGATTTCAAGGATGTACAAGAAGAGAATGAGACAACTGGGAGTGCTCAGTCCTGTGAAGGCTAAAGGCAGGGGGAGGGGGATCACATCACTGCCTTTTACCACTCGTTTGGAGAAGATCCAGGCCAACTTCTTGGATGTGTGCAGCAAAAGGGTGAAAGGCAATGGGCACAAGTTGCAATGAGGAAAATTCCAGGCAGAATCAGTGGGGGGAAAAACCACCATGAGAGTGATTTTTTCACAAACCCTGCAACACAGGCTTTGTGAAACCTCCATTGTTAGAGATATTCAGAGCTTGCCTGGGCAAGGTCCAGAACAACCTCTCTGGCATGCTGTGAGAAGAGGTTGGCACAGAGATCCCCAGAGGCTGCCTTTAATCTGAATTGTAGGAGGATATCACAGAATCATAAAATAGGAGCTGCACATGAGATCTGTACCCTGCCATACCACTGTGCTGCCATGACCAGCTACATGGAGCTGCAGGGGCAGCACGTATATCTCCATGAAAGGCTGCAATAAAGCACTTTCTGAGTGAAAAAAAAAAAAGATATTTGGTGAGTGAACTTAAAGTGAGAGGTCACAGGTTCAATCAGGGTAAGAGTCTATTTAACAAGCCCAGTTTTTCCAAGACATTTGGAGCTTTCTGTGATTTTGGTTAGGCCTAAGCCAATGCATACCAAAGTTTCACTCCCCATTGTCAGCACCCAGTTCTGCTTTATGTACTTGATGTCTGATACACATTCAAGCAAGGTTAAATCTTACAACAAAACTGTCCTCAAAGATTGTAAACACGTAGCTTAAGGACTAATCAAACCCTGCTGCTTCCCAGCATCCCTGGAGATGGAACAGAGAATCAGCCTACTTACAAGGGTAGTATATCTACAAAATGGATGCAAACATAAACATTTTTCTTTGGCATATGATGCAAATTTATCCAGCCTTTAAATATATGAGTCACTCATCAATTTCACCTGAGGAAAAAGAGTTCTTCCTAAAAGTAAAGGGAAAATAAACTAAATGTTTGTTTCTAGATAATTGCCCAAATCATGTGCTGTCTAATATGGCAAAGACTATTGCAAGAAGCCTTTTTGATCTCGGAGATAATGTCAGAAATGTTTACAATCACCTTCTCCATTCTGCTGGAAGAATTTTGGTATTACTGAAATAGGAGATATTTTCTTTGTCAGGTTTGAAGACACAGAAACACTGAAGCCTCTTAAGGTGGTTTTCTTCATATCATGATAAAAGTGTCTTACAACTCTCCTCCACTATAAGAAGTTGTGTTTATTCAGAGTCCGATACAGGACAGTTGCCCAAAGGTTAATTATTCAAATATTTTTCCCCTTGTGTCAATATATAACTAGAAGAGAGGGAAATGTTTCCAGGAGGGAACAGTGCCTCCCACACCGAGGGGCAGAAGTTTTCCTTGAGTAAATCTACATTTCAAAGTCCAGCCTCTCTCCCAGAGCTGCCAGCGTGCCAGCTTACAGACATACAGTGGTAGAGAAACACATTAATTTTTCACATGAGAAGAAACATGGAATTATGTGTATGTGTCTGTCTGTGTTTGGTCACAATTACTCTATATTTAGAAATAAAAAGGTCCAGCTAAATAATGAGTATGCTTTTGCTGCTTTTGCTTTTCCCTGCTTCAGTTCCCGTAGGTCTGGGCAACAGACCAGACTTCAGAAACCCCTTTCCTGAATTAAATTTTTTTTCTGGACAAATAGATCTGTTCTTTCTTTCTTACTTCTGGATACCCTGATTGATAGCAAAATCAGTTTACCTGATTCCATAATTAAACAGCATTGCCCTCTGTAAAAGTACATTTTATCCCATCAAGGGAACATCCATGCCCTGGAATGTTATTGCATATAACCACTCCAGTACCATGACACAGTTTTTTTCCTAATGCTGCTGGGAATTTTCCCTTCACTACTTCTCTTTCTGTCTTCTCATCTCCACTACACTTCCTCCCAATCCATTTTTCCCCTTGTGACAAGGCTAAGAAAATACATTCTCTAACACCTGCCAGTCATTGTCCCAAAGTATCTGTCACAGCAGGCACAAGTGAAATCAGAGGAGCAACTGTTCCTGGGCCAGGCTGGAATGGCACATGGTGCATTGCACATATACTAAGCTATCCACTTAGCCCATGTATAGCATTCCTCCAACACTCATCAAAATGTACAAGCTCTGGTTTTCTAAAATGATGCTCTTAGTAATGCAGTCCATTCTACAACAAAATACCAGATTGTGGTGGCTTCATTTTACAATGAAATCAAAGAGAAGGAAAACATCAGTATATTTTAAAAATGTCTATGCCTTGACACAGCTTGGTAAACTTTTCAAATGCTGCTCAATTGTGTTTAAATCTGCAAGTCCCCTACCTGTGCAATAACTCTGAATTTCATCAAGTTGCTCCTTGTGGTTGGAAGTCTGGTGGGCTTTGGCCTTGTTGCTCATTGGAGCTGTTCTGGGTGTGCAGCCCATTCCAGCGCCTGCCTCTGTGTCCTTTGGGGAGCACCAGAGCCAGTCTTGTCTGACAGGAGGAGCTGGCATGCCACTCAGCAGCCCCAGCAGCAATGTTAACATGAAACAAGAGGTGAAAACCTTGTCTCTAGCTGAGACTGCAGGAAGGACCAGTAGGTCTGAGCTGGAGTTGCTGATATCTGACCACTGACATTCACACACAGCAGTTCAGATGAAGGCAGTGATGTATAAAATTCCCTCAAACTAAGCCAAGCAGTTGTCTGAGTAGTACCTAAGAGGACAAAGCAGAGCAGCAGTAAATCTCCCTGCAGGCTCCCATGAAACACACATATTCTCATATAAGCACACATATTCTCATATAAGCATTACCCTTGCTAAGCTTGGTCATTCTGATAGAAAAGCTTGGTGCACAAGAGTGTTTTCTATGCTAAGAGGCTATGTGGTGTTGTCTGGTTTTATAATGCCTCTTTAAAGAATTTTATTTCCTTTGTGAAAGCAAAAAGGAAGCCCTGTTACAAAGACTGCCTCTTGGACCAGCAGGATTTGGTCAGTTATTTTCCTTGCAAAGTGCACAAAATTAATTTGCAGCAGCTTCTGATAAGAGTATACAATGTCAAGGTCCTGACTGTGAAAAGCCAAGGAAAGAAGCACTGATAACAAATTTTTAAAGCTTTGCTGGGGTGAGGAACAGATTTTCAAGGACACTGGGATTGAAACTGTTGCCAAAATTTTGTCATCTGTGTCAGCTAGAAACCTTTCTCCTCCAACAGAAGTGGTTTTGCTTTCCTCCTGTCACTTGCAAGCCCAGTTTGCTCTAAAAAAGTAACAGTGTGGGGATGCTTCTTCTACAGCTTTTCTCCAGAGCTCTCTTTAATGAGTGAACAAAACCCATGATAGAATAAAAAAGGAGTTTAGCAGTTAGTGGCACAAATGGAAACAAAGCATTTTTAGAGATCCATTCCAGCTATGCCCCAAATCAGGGACCCCTTTTCCAGTGATTTCAGCCTAATTAATTGTGTTGCTGGGCTTCTTTGTAACTTCCTTGTCGCTCAAGGCAGCTCCCTATTTATCATCCTGCTTCAGCAGGGATGTCAGCCTATCCCTGTGTTGAGAGAGAGAAAATACAGCTGCAGCCAGCGTGTTCTGACAGACCCAGGAGGTTCAGGCTATTGCCCTGCCCTGGTCTCACACTACAGAACAGTTTTGCTGGAAGTGGAGTGAAACCCCAGGGAGAAACACCTGGGCATTTCCCTGCATGTTGGAAATGTAAAGCAGTAATGACACACATCACTGCAGAGGCACAAACAGCCCTACTTTAAATAGGTACTCTTGCACAAGACATTTCCAGAGGTGAATCTTTCCCTCCTGCAACTTGAATTTAACTTGGATGGTACATTAAACAATTTCATCACTACAAATGCCTGTAGTATACTGAACAAATACAAAATCCCCAGGGTTAGTTTCTGATCTTGCACAGAGAGAGAGTGAGAAACTCACATTATAATGGGGGAGCCCAGTATCCAGAAAATATGCAGCAGCAGAATTCACTCCTCAAACGACTTTAAATAGCTTTTCCTCTATTTACATTTAATTTAAATGCTCCCTACCTTCAATACTGGCATAATATTGGCACTGTATTACAGAAGTGCAGCTGAGGAGAAATATGAACATGAGGGTTTATTGTTTGGGGATTTAAGGATGCAAGGCCACATCTAGGCTCAGACTTCACTGTGTCCAGAGCCTTCCTCTTTGGTGGGAGTGGTGTGGAAGCATCACATTCTTTTGCAGCAAAGGAGGCACTCAAGAGGGAGGGGAGCAAAATGACCGAGGTGGTGCCCTGCAGGATATAAATACAGGCAAATCTCCCCCACTCTTCTGAGAGCTAGGGAGGTGGAACCGAGACTCACGGCAGACTTTTGTGGGGTTGGTTTGGCATTGAAGTCGATTTTGAGCATTTTCAGATTTGTTAATTGAATTGGTTTGTAATGATTTGTTAGAATGTTTTCTATGCATGGAAATAATACGTAGACTAGTTCTGAATAGGAATAGCTAGCAAAAGTAAGGCATGCTTAAAAAATAGTTTGATGTAGGGATTAAAGTTTGTTTTTCAGTAGTCTCTCCTTCTGGTAACACCCTTTGATTTGCAGTGTTTCCAGAGGTTGATGTCATATGTTCCTTCCCTCAGGCAGGAGGAGAACCAAGCTCAAGAGACAGCAAGTTCAGCACCAAGGAGCAGCCCAGAGCAATGTCCCTGGCTGGGGTAAGCTGCCTGGTGACAGGGGCAGGAGGCTTTCTTGGCCAGAGGATTGTGTGCTTGCTGCTGGAAGAAGAGGAGGCGCTGGCTGAGATCCGGCTGCTGGACAAAGCCTTCAGCGCTGAGGCGCTCGGGAGGTTTGACAGTAAGTGACATTTCCTGAGGATTTTGTGCTGCACTGGGGGTGCTGCAGTCCCACATGGGTAGCTGGGAAGCCTTCACTCTTATCCAAACCAGCTTTGCAGATAGAGGTTTTATCTCAAGGAATCCTTGCTTTATCCTTCCCTCTCCCTCCAGCACAGAAATCAGATGTAAAATGGGAAAACAAGAGGGTTTTTTGTCAGGCCCTGAGGCTTCTATATACTGTTCATGCAGTAAAAAGGCTGTCTTCAACCTGACTTCTCTTCTAACAAAACCCACAGAACAAAATTATTGCAAAAATCTCACACTTCTTCTTGGGGAAAAGGAAAATTCAAGCATTGCTATACTAGGTGGGAGGGCAGAGATATCCAGAGCATGCTGTGCTGGGTTCTGGTGTGCCAGACAGTGAAGGCAGTGAAAAAGTTGCGGGTGCAAATTCCAATGGTTTTCTTAACGGTGATTAATTTGATTAATAGTGATCTTCTGGCTGAGAGCTGTGGTGAGTTTTTTTTAAAACTGCTTCTGTTAATAACATTATTGCAGTTTCCTGTTTAAGCAAATGCTGAACAGAAGAGCAAAGTGCAAGGCAGGCTTCTTGAATGGATTGGAGGCAGCACAAGTGAGTGATGTGCCCAGTGTCAGAAACAGTCTGTGTCAGGGAAAGCAGGTCAGTATTTTATTTTGAATGTCCTAATTATTGAGATTCTAAGCATCTAGGGCATCTGGGGGCCTAAAAGTCATCTAGAGGGCCTACATTCAGTCAGGTTCATAAGTCTTTACATTATATTTACTTAACAATAACTTTCTCCATCACATCTTCACTGCAAGATTCCTCTTCCTCTGTGCAGGAAATTATATGGGAATCCTTAAGGAATATCTCTGCATGATTTGCTGAAGAGCCTCAATCACTCTATAGAGCATTAAAGTGTCATGAAGGAATAGCAACAATGCACAATAAACCTGGTACCAATTGCACAATTTACACAACTCAAACTTCTTCTCCATTAAATCTGACTCAGCACTTCACTGAGGATTTCTAAATGCCCCTGAGTCTTGCAGCAGCCCTTCCTGCTCTGGTTTCCAGAGAGTTTCCACAGATACAAACCCAAAACCTGCAGCTACAGTAGAGGCTGAAGCAGCAGGAGTGTGTGTGGCTTAGCACTGATGCAGCAGTACAGAGGCATCTACACTGCTCTGGGCCAGAAGAGCTTTGTGGGGATAATGGAGCATCCTGGGGAGTGAAAACCATTGTTTGTGTGGGCACAATCTTGGCTGGGCTGCAGCAAACGTTTTGATGTTTTGGTTTTTTGTTAATTGGCAAGCTCTACACCCTGTTCCCTTATCCTCCCTTCTTCTTCCATGGAGCACTGCCCACACACCCCCTCTCCTATTATTTAACATTCCTTCTGCCTATCTGAGCAGCACAGGAGGTAGGGAAAAATCAGATACCAAAGCCTTTTCTTCCTCATAAACAGGTAGTAGGCTGACATTCCAGATGTGCTTAAATGGATTTGAACCCTGCACTTTGACTGGCAGCTCCTCTGTCTGCATCAACCCTTGCGGCTACATCTCTTCTAGTGTCCTGCTAGTCCCTGTGCTCAGAACTACCTGAAATATTTCCCTGCTGTTCCCTTTTAAGCCCTTCTCTGTCTCAGTGACTCCTATTCCAAGTGTGGGGCTGCTACAAAACCTGTGGGTGGGGCTGGAGTCTTCTGACCTGCATTATTTTTACTACAGGGGCTTTTACTTGCTAGCAGAAGTTATCTGGATTTCGGGAACAGCCAGGAGCAGAGCTGAGTGGGTTTTTTCCTCACTAATCTCTTGAGCACCTTGCACTTGCAATACCTTTGCAGAGTCAGGGCTGTGGCTATGAGACAGAGCAGTGTGTGCAAGTCACAGGTCTCTGTGCCAGAAGGCACTCAGGGACACTCCTCTTTTGTTCAAACAACTTTCCTGCTGAGAGTTTGACCATCACACTCAGTGCGTGCAGGACAGTGGCATTTGTGGTGTCCCACAGCCCCAGGGAGTCTGGGATGATCCAGTCAGTGTCGAGGGCTGTGAGTTGGAGCCCGCCCGGTCCCATTGTGTGGTTGAGAATGGATGTCACATTGAACATGGTGCTTTGGTGCCTGGGTTTCTTACCTCCCATCTCCCACACAGATTTATCTTTCTGCCCTTCCTGTGCTTCCACTTACACAATTCTTTTTGTTGTTGTTCTTGTTGTTCACTATTGCATTGGTACTTCTGGAGAAATCAAAACTCCTATGTTGTTCTCAAGTTTAGGGCAAATAGTCTGGCTGTACTGCTGAGTCAAAAACTGCTCACAACAGGACACTGAATTTTATTGAGAAATCATTGCATTTTCAAGCAAAAACTAACCCACAGCAAGCAGGGAGATTACTTACAACTCAGAGGACACAGAAACCACTGGTGAAGAAGAACAAGCTTTCCCAGTGAGTAGGTACTTTGTCACAATCACTTTATGCAAAAATGGAGAAGTGACTTGAATTTATTCCGTTCCTCCCCCTCTGACCTACCCACGTGTTCTTTTGCTGCCTGGGCAATGTTTGTCTAGATGGAAATCAAGAGCAGCTCTCTCTGCTGGCCATCTCAGATGTGTTCTTTTGCTGCCTGGGCAATGGTTTGTCTAGATGGAAATCAAGAGCAGCTCTCTCTGCTGGCCATCTCAGACTGAAACCACTGTCTGTCAGTCATTTCTTAACTCTTTTCTTCCAAGCTCACCTGTAGTTTTGTCTTGACCCAGAGCAAAACAAGATCAATCTGCTGATTCCTGACATGCAGCTGATGCTGCTAAAGCGAGCAAGGCCCAGATTGTACTTGCCATGGCAACTTCTGCTGGCTAAAATGGAACAGAGGAGCAGATTTCCTGACTCATATCACACACACACAAACTGCAAGCCCAAACAAGGCACAAAGCACCTAGACAAGAGATTCCCATTATCAGCTTTAAAAGGGAGAGGTTTCGTCTGTACTTTTCCTGAAAGCTTTGTTTTGCGTGTATAAAACTTGCATTTTCCTAACCCCTTCTTGGGCACTGTGATAACTTTGAAGAGGTCACATGTCATAATTTATGTTGTGAAAACTATTTATATCTGTTCTTGGGATTATTACAACCCCATAAAACCTTGTTCATGGAGAACATCAACCTAAGGGCAGTACAGGCACTAATATTTATTAGAGCAAATCTAACTACCAGGTGCTTAAAAAAAGCCAAGTCCTAGTCTGACACTTTTGCATGCATGCAAGTAGAGGTCAGAGTGAAGATTCAGGAGTTGGAATCCTAGGAAATTAATGTAGCCTGTAAAATAAATGAGCAGAAGACAGCATGTGGCAATGACTGTGCTGGGAGAGCAGCAATTCTAGATTTAGTAACAGCTCAGCAAATGTTTTACAAACCTTAAATCTCAGACCAACTGTCTGTGGTGGGGGAAAAAAGACCCTTAAGCCTGTTGCATCAGAATAATTGTTAAATTGATACAGGATTACATTCTTAGCGTGCTATAGAGAAAATGAGATAAAACCATTTTAAGATATATTCCCACTCAGTTCCAGATCCAGCAGCTGTCTTTCTCAGTGTTTCCTGTTAAAGCCATGGGATGAAATAGTGCCTGCTTTGGAGCTGGTGACAAAGCACTAGGATACACAAGTCACGGACGAAGCTAAAAGCTGTACAAATTAATCAGGTCCTTCTCTTATCTAAAAGGGGCATTTGATTACACTGGAAGAAGGCAGAGGCTGTGCCTGTGCTGCAGAGTCCCTGCCCAGCAGCTGTGCCTGGGGAGCCATCTAGTGCAGCCACAGCAGAGGCTCCCAGAGGACTTGCTGCAATGGCAAGCTCCTCACAGGGCATGCTGAGAAAGTCCCCTCCTGTGCCGTGGCACTGCTCACCAGGCCAGCTGAGCTCCCTGCACAGCAGCATTGCCTTGGACTGCACATTTTTCCAAATGATCATTTGGTGCTGGCTCATGTTTGTGTAGTGCTGGGCTGCAGAAAGAATCCTTCTGCCTAGCACAGGATGGCTCTGAGACCTAGAGCTCCTCTGGGGTCACACACTGCAGTTGCTATGGAGGGACAGGGCTTGAAAAGCAGGATTTAATCCAGCCAGGCTGAGGTAGCTCAGGAGAACACTCCTGAGAGTTCAGGTATGAAACAGAAAGTCTTGCAGAGTTTGGAGGTTATGGGTTCTGGCCGAGGTACATGCTTAATTACCACAGATACTGAAACTTCTGAGTGAAGTGATGTGCCCTCCTTCTGAGTCCTTCACAGAAAATAGGTTCTGATCTGCAAAATGGCATTATGTGCAACCCAAAGTTCAGACTGTTTTCCCTCTGGGTACATAAGGTACAGTAGAATGTTGCCATTTCATTCTGTTGCTGCTGTCTTACTTTCTTGAAGATAAGAGTGTAAATTTAAGCACAAAAATGACTTTTTAGTCCTAGCTGTTTCTGAGTCTTGCACTGTACTCTCTAACAAAACACCCACAGCACAGACACTGAAATGGAGCCAGAGCTGGAGCTGGAAGAGGCACTGTAAGTCCTGGCCAAGGTACAAGAAAAAGACGTCAGAATTCTATGTAGTTTATTAGAAGAGCTGCAATACAGGCAAGGTAAAGGGGCAGAAAGTAGGTATGAACACATCCCTGTGCTCACATGCCCTGGGTGGAGAGAGATCATAAATCAGCTTGAAAACAGGAACATGCAGTGCCCGTTCAGAGCTCTTGGGTTAACTCATCTATAGCCAGCAGCCACCAGAACATGCACAGCTAAAGCTACTCTTCTGTGAACTTCAACACAGCCACAACTCAAGGAAGCTTGCTAGCAGTGGAAAAGACCTCTAAAAAATAAAATATAAAGAAACATGTTGAATATTGGCTCCAGATCTATGGCAGGTAATGCAAAATAAACCTCTGTAGCACTGTAGTTAGCATTTGACAAGAGAGTCCTGGGTAAATGCCTTTTGTTTCACAGCCTTAAAATATCCCTGCTGTTCCTGGACAGTCAGCTCCTGCCAGGCGGGGTCAGCTCTTCACCAGCCTTCCAGTGGTCTTCTTAGGGTGCCTGTAAGGTCTTTTGCTCTGTTTTCTGCTGCCCCTGCAGAGTTCAAGGGGAAGACTGAGGTGAAAATCCTGGAAGGGGACATCCGAGATGTGACATTCCTGCACCGAGCCTGCCAGGGGGTCTCCCTCGTTATCCACACGGCTTCCCTCATTGACACCCTGGGCCTCATCGAGAAGAAGCTGCTCTGGGAAGTCAATGTAACAGGTGAGCAGGGCAAGCACCTTCCTCAAAGCCACATCTGTGTCCTGGTCACTCTCTGCTCCGGGAAGGGAGCACCTGAGCCGTGTTTGTTTTGAGCCAGGTTAAGTGGGATGTTCTTCGCCTTGCACAGACATACCTAGGGGTGCAAATCCCGTGTCTGGGCAGCCCCAAGAAGTTCGGGGCCTCTCCACACCCAGTCTTCCACTTCAGGGCAGTGCAGGATCACTCATTCTTGTCAACACTTATATATGCCCATGCTGAGGTCTGCACAGCTCTGCCTTCAGTGGTGATAGTCATAAACCCATTCTCATTGGAACTTTCTGAAAGCAATTCCCCTCTGAAATCCCAATGCTCACCTCAGAAATTGGTTCTTATTCTCCCACCCCATGTGGCATCCCTGTCTGTGTACATTGTTCAAAGTTTACAAATAGTGCAGACTTTGGCTGCAGTGACAGAAATGTTGCATTGATAACATCCCAGAGCCTGTGGCTCTCTCCTTGCTGTTGTTTTTTTTCTTTTCTTTCTCCTTTTCCTTCCTTTGCCTTTAAGTCTGTGTGTGCAAGAAGGCAGCTGAGAGGAACAAGTGCTCTTCCACCTTGAGTTTATAATTTAAAATTCCCCAACAAACTCAGAGCTTTGGGAGGGAGGGGTTTCAGTGACTCAGTGATGGGATTTCCCCCTCTACTAACTCCCATTCTTCAGAAAAGATCAGGTGAAGGGAGAAGGTTTAGACTTAGGAATGGCCCATGCAGCATCACCTATTGAGAGGAACAAGTGGTCTTCCACCTTGACTTTATAATTTAAAATTCCCCAACAATCTCAGAGATTTGGGAGGGAGCAGTTTCAGTGACTCAGTGATGGATTTTCCCCTCTACTAACTCCCATTCTTCAGGAAAGATCAGGTGAAGGGAGAAGGTTTAGACTTAGGAATGGCCCATGCAGCGTCACCTACCAGGAAGTTTAAATGTATTTCCTAAAAGAACAACTTCACCCCCTGTCTGTGATGTCAAAACCCCCAGTGCCATTCGGAGAACTGGCACTGCCTAACCTGCATGCACACTGGCCTCCCTGGCTGTGTTGCTTCAACAGCTTGGGGGAGATTTGGGGAAGGTGTTCTTATTTACATGAACAGTTTTCCCAGTTCTTTGTTCCTCTCTGCCAGACACAGGGCTTCTTCACAGAAAAATAAGGAACATACCTGTACAGGCATCACTTTCACAAATCTTGGCTGCTCACCAGTGTTCAGAGGAAGAGAGAATTCTTGGCAGTCGAGTTGTTTCTTACATGAACCTTAAAAACAGTGGGATGGCATTTTAGTTGTTTCAGTGTGGCTCATTCCCTGTACCATTAGCTTCCAGACCCTTTCATTTCTGCTCAATCAAAGCCACAGATTGTCAGTGATCAAAGCATAGAGCTCACTGGGCAGCCTCTTAGGCCCCTGTCAGGAGGGAAGAGTAGAAAGGTTTCCTGGAAACCTGTGCATTGGGTAATATGAAAATATACCTGGTTGGTAGCTCAGATAGAGGATTCCTAAAGCTCTGTCTTTACGACTGGACTCCCACTACAGTCTGTTTCTTTACAGAAGAATGTGCTTCTTAAATTCATTTTAACGTGGGGAAAAATAAAAAACAACAACTAAAAAAAAAAAAAGCAACCAAAGCCGCCCCCCCCCCCAAAAAAAAAAACCAAACAAACCAAAAACAAACAAAAAAATCAAGCTACTATTAAAATGTCCCAGAAGGCTCTTTAGCTCTGACTCCCCAGTACTCACTCCCCTGCCAACAGTGTCTGCCTATGGGTGAAAGAAGCCCACTGGGCCACTGGGGAGGATTAGCTGATAAGATTTGGTAGAATGAAATACCATCTACAGTCCTGCTCCCAGAGCTAAGTAGCCACAAGGTCAGTGAGTGAATACTGCTGTCCTCTCTTCCCTGTTGTCTTCCATTTCCATTCTGATGCTCTTCTGGTTTTCTGACCAGCCAGGGCACTGCTATGTACTTCATGGACTTGCAGGATGAAAGTTTTGTTTCTCCTAGAAAATACAATTTGTGAAATATAAATTTAAATGTAAATGTTTCTATAATATAAATGTTTCAAGAATCAGGTGTGGATGTTCACAAACCAGGACAGAAGTGAGAAAGTTAAACTTGCCTTGCTGCTGGGCTTTCCTCCATCGCCATACAATATCTCAGAGCAAAAAAGATCTTGTTTAGGAAGGAAGGAAAGCAAATTTTTAAAAGGAAGGGAATTGAGAAAATAATTAATTACGATCTAAACAAAATATCTTCTGTGAATCAGATCCTCAGCCAGAAGGGCAAGCAAACCATGGGCACCCTCTCACTGAACAAAGCATGTAATACAGTAATCATTTACTTTATTACATGCTATATGAAAGATACTCAGGTTCCCATTACTGTAGGAATCCTTCAACTTTTACATACAATTCTGATTTGCAAATAAACCACATTTTATTTGGGTGAAATTAATCTTGAACAGATACCAACTGTCAAGATAATTTTATTATTGCCTTTTTCTAGAACTTGCTATCTCATTTGCTTTCATCAAGACCTTCTGTATTTGACTACTTTCCCTCATTTTCCAAACAGTATGGACAGCAGGAATAAAGCTATTATTTTAAAAATAATGTAATAAACACATTTTTCCCCAGATGACCCTGGCTTTTATGTCATCTAAACATGGTGACTTGCATGAACTCATTTTTCACATTAATTTATTCTTGTCTGTGTAACTTTTTTTCAGTGCGCTTCCTTAATGTTTCTGAAAGCCTCATCCAGATTTGTTTTTAATTTGTTTCAATTTCTTTCTTTTTCTTTTTCAAGCTTGAAAAGACGAATTTTGGTGCCCCAACAATATTCAGTTCAACAATTCTTCCTATTTTTCACTCATGAACAAGTCCATATTTTGCTGCCAATATTCCTGGCTCTTCTGAACCTCTTTAATTCATTATATTAGTTTTAGTCCCACTAGCCTGGCCTGCATTGTGCTGCCTTCAGTTGTTGCTGTAACAGACTGAGCAGACTTGGAAGATCTTTTATGTGCCTCACTGCTGGTATTTGATTTTATCTCCTGGATTTTAGACTACACCCTTCTGATGTCATATCAGTAATTTTAATTTAATGTTCCTTTGCCAAAGATGTTTCCAAATGTCTTTGAGCTGTGTCTTGTCTTCCGAGTCACCCGCCTTTTTACATTTAATTTCTGTCATTACAACATGCACAACAAATAAGGCAATTTCTGCCTCAAAACTGGGTAGAAAAAGATTATTCTAATTGCAAGTATAACAACACAACTTATTAAAGTATTTATTTCCCCCTTCAGTGTGCTTTCCTTGTTTAACCTTCTTGGCTATTTAAAAGACTTTGAACAGCTGACCTCTGCTGCCCCCGATGAAAGCATTAAAGGATTTTAAATGTAAGAAATCCTGTACTACTGCAAGAAAAAGCCAGAATATGGCAGAAAAGAAGGCATACATACACAAGCCTCTCTTTTCTCATCTTACATTATGATCTGACTGCATGATAAAGTGCCTTGCTTCTCCATGTTTCTCTTCAAGCCCTTCTCTTTAGTCAGTCAAGTACTGGATAGATTTGCACTAGGGGTAAGTGCACTGGTTTTGGAGCAGACCTTCAGGTCCCACAATAATTCTGTCCCTTCTTAGCAGACCACCCAAGAGCATCCTCAACCCTGAAAAACATGGGTTTCACCACAGAGCATGGGTGATATCTCAGGGGAGGGGCAGCTTCTGAAGTTTCTCTGCCTTAAGCCTACTCAAGCTGGCACAAGTCCCTGAATCTGTGGTCAGTCTCCATGCTGAGTTAAGGAAGGGCAAAAATTTGATTACTGGCATAAAAAAACTCCCACAACATGCAATTAGGACCAAAATTCACCCTTGTTTAACTCTGAAAGGTGCTCTGATACTACTTAAATACAGACTCAGAGCAGGTTCAGTGTCATTGAATATACTGCCCTGTTCAGCTCAGGATTCTTCCAGCTGCAGGGAGGGAGATCTGGCTAAGCTCAGGCCAGAGATGCTGTTTCTGATCTGAAACCCCCACTTTTTCCTGGTTAGGAGGCCCTAGACCACCTTTCCTGTTTGTTTTCTGAAGGTACTCAGCTGCTGCTGGAGGCGTGTGTCCGCTGTAATGTCCAGCACTTCATTTACACCAGCACCATAGAAGTGACAGGCCCCAACTGCAAAGGGGACCCCATTTTCAACGGTGACGAAGATACAGCTTATGAGAGCACATCCAAATTTCCTTATGCCCAAACCAAGAGACTGGCAGAGGATTCTGTGCTGAAAGCAGATGGCCAGGTGCTGAAGGATGGTGGCACGCTGATGACCTGCGCCCTGAGATCCATGTACATTTTTGGGGAGGGCTGCCCATTCCTCCAAGGCCATCTGGATAAGTGCCTGCTGAACAAGAACATCTACCTGCGCTTCTCCAGGAAGGAGGCTCTGGTGAACCCCGTGTACGTGGGGAACATCGCCTGGGCACACGTGCAGGCCGCCAAGGCCCTGCGAGCCCCGCAGAAGGCCCAGCACGTCAGAGGCAGGTTCTACTACATCTCAGATGACACTCCCCACATGAGCTACGCTGATCTGAATTACGAGCTGACCAAGGAGCTGGGGTTTGGCATCGAGCCCCGGCTCCCCATGCCCCTGACGGTGCTCTACTACTTCTCGCTGCTGCTGGAGGTGGTCAGCTTCCTGCTGCGGCCCTTCGTCCGATACGTGCCCTCCACCAATCGCCACCTGGTCACGCTGCTCAACACCCCCTTCACCTTCTCCTACAGAAAAGCACAGCAGGATTTTGGCTACGTGCCCCGCTACACGTGGGAAGAGGCCAAGCAGGGCACCGGGGAGTGGATTGCCTCTGTGATCCCCCAGAGAAGGCTGTACTTGCAAAGCAGCACCGCCTAAGCCTGAGGAGGAGCTGAAACCCAGCTAAGCAAGGAGGGCCTTGAGCCAGGGGAGGGCTGGGAGAGCAGCAGCAAACTACAAAGCATTTAAATTAATACTTTGTGTAAGAACACACTGAAACCCCTCACCCCCAACCTCAGAATAAATAAAAGTGAAACGTTCATTTGTTTGTTGAGTACAGGCTGATGAGGGTAACTGTACTGCGTAGTCCCACTTGTACATCTCTGCAGCACAAAGATTTATTTCAGAAAGACTCCACACAATCCATGGTGTGAACACTTCAGCCCTTCTTTCACTCCATGCCACCTTCAAGGCTTTTGTAAAACACAACTTGTCCTAGAAGTAAGTAAGATACTTTACAAATGTGCACCACTCAGCTACACCCTGTTCACTCAGAGTTTGCCAAGCTCACCAAACAGGCAGCCTGTAAAACACAACTTGTCCTAGAAGTGTGATAATACTTTACAAATGTGCGCCACTCAGCTACACCCTGTTCACTCAGAGTTTGCCAAGCTCACCAAACAGGCAGCAGGCAGAAGCCACCTGTTGGCAAAAGCTGTAACAAATCTTGTTCACTTTTTCAAGGGTGTTGTGCATTTCATGGTCACCTGTCAAACTCTGAGCACCGTAAGCATTGTGAAATCAAAAGTACAATATGAGTGCAATGCAGTTTTAGTTAGGACAGTGTGTGGAGGGAGAAAAGGGACAGATTTGGTCAGGTGAATACTTCTTTATACACCTCATTTTGCAATAAATTTCATGGGTGTCCAGCAGAACAACTTCAAGAAAAGGGAAGGGAGAAAAGTATTCAGGAAGGCCTTGATCACAGAGGGATTCCCACTGCAGAGTCAATGTATTTGTGAACACTGAGGAAAAATAAAGAGTGCTGAAAAAAATCCTGCTCTTACCACGTTTCGGCTGGGAACAAAGGCTAACTTTAGCTGATAGGTACACATATGCTGCCCCTGTGCTTCTCTGATGGCCACATGAGCTCCTGCACAGTGTGTAACTTGACTTGTGAGCAAAAATACAGACCTTTTCTGAGCAAACAAATGTGATCCAGTGTTTGTTTCTCAAACATGCATCTCACTTGCTGAAAATAACTCTGAAAGATGGGAATTTCTGTGTTGTTTTGGAGGTGTGAACAGAAACATTTTACCTGACTCAATACCAGTGTAAATAAATCACATTTCCAGGGATGCTGAATGCTTGAAGTCTGTGCTGAGTTTAATTATTCAGCATCCTAGACATTAGATAGTCCCAGTGCAAACATTACTAAGTGCTTTAGTAACATCTTGGTTAACAGTGTAAGATCTGAAGCAGTAGAATAGTAGACACCAGAACTGTCTGTCATATTCTGGGGACACAGATCCCCACAAAGCTTGGGTTTCCATCTGCCTGTGAGGAGATTACTTAATCCCTCCCTCCCTTCAGATGTGTGGTGATTCACCTTTTCTGCCACAGTGGCAATGATTATCAAACATCCTGAAGGAACACAGGGCTACTCCCAGGAGAGGTTTGGGGAGAGAAGGAAAGGTCACAACCACTTTGGGTGCAGCTGCTTTAGTCCCTGGCAGGGCACCTGCTGGTCCATTTCAGGCTCACCTCTCCCTGCAGCTGGGACACTGCACTTCGGTCTCTGGGCTTTCTTCTTCTCCACGCCCTGCCATGGACACTGTTCTTCTTCCCTCCCCTGCAGACACACTCTTGTTTTATTTATTCTGCTCTCTGCACACCCTTAGGAAAGCAAAAACATGTTTAACTCAGTAACACCCACAGTCTTTCTGGGCTAATGATGTTTCATCCTAATGCTCAGTGGGTGCCAAGCAAGGGGTGCAGCCGTGACTGCTCTGTCACTGAGGTAAGAGTAGGAAGGGCAATCCAGGCACAGGGAATTTGAGCAGGAAGGGAAGAGGGAGAACAACAGCAGCAAAGCCACTGTTTAATAGGGGGGAGACACTTCACACATCAGAGGGATGGGGTATTAAAACACATACCAGAAAACTGGGACATCTTTCCACATTTAACAGAGGTCCTAAAATATCCACAGATGCTGCCAGAGAGAAAAAACGACAATTTTTCTTCTACAGTTCAGTGACTTCTCTCCCAAGTGCAAGCTCCCATTGCCAGAGCTTTCTTTGCCATTTTTGCCTTCACAGGAAGACAGTGGGATCTTTTCATCTTCCCAAAAGCCTTGCTCCCAACAGTCAGATTTCTACGTGGCAAATTCTTCCTTTGTTGGACTTCCTCCCTGTGTCTTGCTACCACATCCCTTCCTTCAATCCCCATGGCAAGCCATTCCTGCTTACAGGAAGCTTATTCCCCACTTCTGTCCCTCCCTGAGCACTACTAGGTTGGCATCTGTGTTGTCTTTTGCTTCAGGTGACTGCCCAAAATAGTGGAGTGCCTGGAATAAAACATCCTGGAAGCCCAAGGGAGCCACCTGAGACATTTCTCCTGCTGCTCAGAGGCACTGGAGCTGTTTTGTGCTGTTACCCAGTAACAAACAGAAGCCAATAAGGATATGCCAAGGATACCAAGAGGGAGAACAGGCAAACTTGCTGCAGAGGGTTGATTTTCTGCAAGTTTGCACTCCAGTCTACTCTGCAGCAGCTTGTTTCTATACTCGTACTCTTGGCAGGTTAGCAAAATGGCTACAAAATGTACTTGATCAGGATGAGCCTTTATTGTTTTTACATCAGCTGACCAGGACCATTCTTCTGATTTAATTAGTTTGTCTGGCAATCAATAAAGCAAACTATTGGTTATCAATGAAGCTCCACTGTCAACAGAATCACACTCAGTAAGAAGAACTTTACTTCTGTATAAACAGTGGAAAAGAAAAAAAAACCCCAAAACATTAAGGCTGCTTTGATGGAAAGGTGTTTATTTACTCTTTAGACATGCAGAAAAGTAAGAAATAGCAAATATATATCAGTGATACTTACATGCTACAGGCAAATTAATTACTTCTGGTTCCAGCAGGTTTAAAACCCTACATTTATAAAGAACACCATTTGCTGTTAAATATTTTGTCACTGGAGAGGTGCAGAGTTTTGCTTGCTAAAAGGGAGCAGGACCTATAATAACACACATTTTGGACAGATTTAGAAATAAGGAAGATGCTCCAGAGGAACAGAAGCAAAAGTGGCTATCATGTCAATACCAGAAATCCATGCCTGGAATTGGTACCATTAATATAGGATGCAGTCAATGGAGGACAGTTGGATAGTTAATGCCAATGAGCATGTTTTTGTGAAAAATCCATTCTATCAGACAAGCATGACACTGGTATTCTGAGTGCATTGCAGACTTCAAATAATTATTTTTTTTTAACATTATGAAGTTAAATGAATTCATACAGACTAAATTATAAAACTCACAAAATTAATATTAACTTTCTCAAGTATGATCTTTAAAATTGCTTTTTTTCTTTTTTAAAGCTTTGGCTCAGTTCACAGGCTTTGTGCAGAATAACAATGTGAAAAGTTATGTACAGCCCCTGTTATGTAGGAAACCAAAAGTACCAATTGTTTCTTGACCTGAAAAACCTGTCCCGTATACCTGTAGATATAATAGATTATAGTGCCTGTAAAGCTAATTTGGGAAGTGGGAGCACAGTCGGGTACATTCCCAAAGAACAATTTCACCACTCCTTGCCATGACCCCTGCAGTCCCATGAAATACTCTTCCCTCTCCTGAAAGCTCTCCATCTCAGTTCAAAATCCCCTGGATAACTGGAATTCATGTGTGGCTGTGCAATGGAATTTTTACTCCGACAAGTGATTGCTATTTCTAGACACTCATTCACAAAGCTAAACTTGTCTCATGTCTTAAATAAGATGTGTCTCTCCAGTGCTGGCAGCAAGCACTGAATATTAAGCAGTTAAGGATTAATCTGCAAAAGGGAAAAGAACATTAATCAAAAATAAAGATTTATTAAATCTCCAGCTTGATCCTATAACAGGTGCCACTCAAAATGCTTAACATGCATTGTGGAAGACCATCAAGACAGAGAAAGATTGGGATTTTTTTGCTGCCTAAAATGTGGAAAGACAATCTAGAAACTTAAAAGGAAACAAAATACATGTGGGCAAAAATTGCTTTGAAGGTACATATGCTTGGTAATCATCTCATCTTTTCTTTTTTCTTTTTTTTTTTAAAGGAAATAAATTACAGGGATGAAGCATCTTCAGCTTCTCTATTTTCTTTTTCAAACATTCTTGCACCTCAACATTTTCAATGTGGTGGTTTCATCAGAAGCTAGATATATATTTTTCTGATAATCCCACATGCAATTTTAGTTATACATTTAGGTTTAATTTATCAAGACCAAAAGCACACTGGATTTTTTACACACACTTGGGCATTCTACATGCTTTATTTGCAAGTGCTGATGACATAAAGAACACTGCACACTCACCACTAAGTCCAAGAAATTCACTTTCAGGGGGAGCTTCTTTTGGTCCATCTTGGAATTGATGTCTCTTGTCCACAGGGCTCTTGGAATAAACTCTGGCACAGAGGAATTGCTGCAGCAATGGTCTCTGGCCAGCCAAGAGCAATAATCAAGGGATGAGAACTGTCTGATCCCCATCATGGCACGGGAGGTTTTGCCTGTACCAAGTGGCTGAGGAGGCTGTTCTGCAGCGTTTAACTTCTCCTGCTCCTCCAGGAACTTCCCCTCAGCCTCCTCACATGTACTGCTTATGTATTTACAGAGAGGAACTAGTTACTTTTACAATGGCCTCATTTACTTTGAACTCTCTGTTCCTGCCATTGCTGTGAGAGAGGGAAAGGGAGCAGGACAGCTCCACAGCAGGAGCTGGATCATCTCCCGCAGGAAGCTCTGGGATGAGGGGCGGGCTGAGCGGGCCCTCCGCAGGCTGCAGGGACACATCTGGGAGAGGTGCCGGGATAAGGACCAGATCCGCATGCAGGGAAAGCTGTGTTGGGCAGGGGATGTCCCGAGCGGCCGCTGGGTGGGGCGAGTGCGGTGTAATCCTGGGACCTTTCCTGCGGGTCCCCTCCCCGCAGCTCCCGGGCCAGGACACAGCGGGATCGGAGCCTAGGATCAGGACCTGCTCCTCGGTGGCATCCTTTTCCTGGAGAGGGAGGAGTGCACGATCGGTAGCTTTGCCTCACACAGCTTGGGTCTGCTGG